AGGAACATGTAATGGAGCAGTATCGTACAATCTTAATTTGGGGAGGGTCGTCAGCAGATCCTGCTGTCTCGAACTGGGATATTTGGGATATGCGGGATATGTGGCATATGTGGGAAATGTTGCATATGTGGGATATGCGAATCCCGCATTCACGATGTCAGAGCTTCCGCTTGCTGCTTCCTTCGAAGCATTACATGTTGCAGAGTGCATGTAACGGCAACCATGTCGATTTCACGTTCCAGGCACTGGATCGGAACAGATCTTCATCTCACGCGCACGGTATTTCCACATCGCGGTGTGCAAGGCGGGCCGGGAGCCTTGTTTTAGAAAGCTGGCCGCGCCGACCTGTCGGGCGGGGATAGGGGGATCCGGCATAGGGCAACAAATCGTGGACAGTCCTTCTCCCCCCAGAACTCAAAGTTGACACGCAAGGGGCATGCTTGCTGCCACCGCCACCGCCTTCGATCATGAGGGAGGTCATTGGGAGATGGATGTGTGTAGCATTAGTGTTCGTTGATGTATTCGGAGGCTTGTTTTTTTTCTTACCACCCTGTGGCGTTAGGTTTTTGTTTTGAAGAGACAGCGCCCAGCGTTCCTCACTCCTTCCTCCTCCCCATAACCCCTCCTCCTCCCATTCTCTCTGGCCTCCGCGCGTCCGCGTCGTCATCGTGGTCATCAGCGCCATCATCATACCAGCGCCACCGGCATCCCATTCCAGCCTCAGCGTTCCCATATTCACGCCAGCAGACCTCTCGCGCGCGTCGTGGCCCTATGGGGAGCTCCTCCGAAGACCACAATGGCAGGGTCCGCAGAACGCCACCGCCCCCATCTCTCGGCACACCTGTCACGCGGCTCGTAACCCAGAGGAGCTCCACCGAAAGCCCCAGCGGCAAGGTCGGAATGGCGCCACCGCGCCCATTTCGGCACACCTGTCTCCCACGTTGCATGGGCCAAAAGGGACCTCCACCGAAGGCCCCAGTGACAGGGTCCTGTTGGCCTTGGTTCATCTTAAAATCGCCCTGGGCGTTTGTTTAGCGTTTTTTTTGGTTTGGGCTCTTGGCAGGCTGACGACGCTAACCAAACCAGCGTTTTTTTAACGTCTTTAGGAATGCGTGTTGGGCGTTTCAGGTTCGTCGCTATGGCGCAACATTTTGTTGTGTTCTTGAAACGTTATCGTCGAAGGCTACTCGTTCTTCTCTGCCAGCTTGGCCCCCGCGCCCCCCGCCCTGCCACCGTTCGCCCTTTCGCGCCTTGATCCACGAGCTGCGTGGGCGGGGGGGGGGGAGGAACCGGTTCCCGCGCGGGGACTAAAGCACGGAACGCAAACAAAACACGATGGCACCGGTCTAATTTTGGGAGGGCGGCCCTCCGCGATGAGCCCCCCTCGACGGCCACAGGCAAACGCATTTGCATAGGGAAGACGAGCTGGGCCGGGGGGCTACAGGAACATGCTCGACAAGCTCCGCGGCGGAGACGCGGAGGACAAGCAGAAGCTCAAGAAGATAGGGCCCCCAGCTCCAGCATTGGGGCTCGCCGCGCCGGAGAGCCTCCTGAAGTGCGGCGTGGGCGGAGCTTTCAAGCTGGAGATCAGCGCCTACCCGTAGGAGGCCCAGCCGCCCGACGAGATGGCCAACGTCGAAGTCACGAAGTACGAGATGCAGCAGCAGATCAGCCCCCTACGGCTCGAGCGATGCTTCGACGCGGACAAGACCAATCTGATCGTGGGGGCCCCAGATGGGCCAGGCTTCAAGGTAATGATGACGGCGCTGGCCGCCGAGGGCGCGGCGCAGCACCGCCGCGGGGTGGCGCCAGCGGGATGGCTCGAGGAAGAGATGGCGCACTGGCTGGAGACATTCGAGCAGTAGTTTTTGTGAGAGGACCCCCGCTCCCTGCCAGCCGCCACGGTGTAGAGGTGCAGCACCAACGCCCGCCCTCAGAAGAGTCAGAGCAGGAGCATGCCGCAGGGCGTTCGCCGCCAGTCTCAGAAGACTCAGAGCAGGGGCGTGCCGAAGGGAGCGCGCCACCAGTCTCAGCAGCTTCTGTCTTCGCTTCTAGGCCAGACCCCCCGCAGCTGCCGACTCGGGGTCGGCAGGGCGCGCGCAGCCGGTCTCGGAAGATGCAGAGCTGGAGCACGCCGCAGGGCGTGCGCCGCCAGTCCTAGAAGACTCAGCGCCGGAGCATGCCGCAGGGCGTGCGCCGCCAGTCTCAGCAGCTTCTCTCTTCTTGTCTCAGCTAGCCGACTCGAGGGTGGCAGGGCGCGCGCTGCCAGCTTCAGCAGACTCAGAGCAGGAGCATGCCGCAAGGCGTGCGCCGCCAGTCTCAGCTGTTTCTGTCTTTTTGTCTGGGCAATGGTCGGCAGGGCTGGCACTCCCGGGCTCTGCCGACTCGGGGTCGGCCCATCTCGAGGGGCCCGATGGCCCGCGCGATCAGGTCGATGCAGCAGCAGAAAAAGAGGCCGCAGCATTTTTGGTTGACGAAAAAATGCTTCCTCGGAGCGTCTCGCGGCAGCGCGACGCAGCCCCCCTGCGCCAGCTCCTGCGAGACGTGGCCCCAAGAACGGGGACTCACGAGAGATTCGGCTCTCTGCGGCGGGCCATACTTTTTATTTCGCGCTGCGCTGGCTTGTTTGGTCCTGATGCCGTGTAAAATTTAGCGCCCAGCATCATCGCTGTTATCGCCGCCGCCGTCGACGCGCATTCCGGCGCGCCTCTCACAAGCGTCGTGGCCCTATGGGGAGATCCACCGAAGGCCCCAGTGGCCGTGTCCACATGCGTCCCACCCGCCCACCGCACGTTCATTCTGGCACGTCTCTCACAAGGTTCGTGGGCCCATCGGAAGCTCCACATAATGCCTCACTGGCCGCGTCCGCGTGCGTCCCCTCCGCCCGCAGCCTGCCCATTCGCGCACACCCCTCACACGGTTCGTGGCCCGACACCGACGGCCCCAGTGGCTGCGGCCGCATGCGTCCTCCCCGCCCACCGCATGTCCATTTCGATACACCCATCATACGCTTCGTGGCCCCATAGGGAGCTCCACCGAAGACCCCAGTGGCCGCGTCCGCAAGCGCCCACGCCGCCCCCGCATGTCCATTTCGGCGCAACCTTCACGCGCTTCGTGGCCCCATGGGGAACTCCACCGAAGGCACCAGTGGCTCCGTCCGCATGCGTACTCCCCGCAAGCCGCATGCCCATTCTGGCACACCTCTCACAAGGTTCGTGACCCCAGAGGGAGCTCCACCGAAGGCCCCAGTGGCCGCGTCCGCATGCGTCCTCCCCACCCACCGCGTTCCCATTCTGGCACGCCTCTCTCACGTTTCGTGGACCGATAAGGAGCTCCACCGGAGGCCCCGGTGGTCGCATGCGTCCTACCCGCCCACAGCATGTCCATTTTCGGCGCACCCCCCACACAATTCGTGGCCCCATGGAGAGCTCCACCGAATGCCCCAGTGGCCGCGTCGGCATGCGTCCACCTTGCCCCCCGCATGCCCATTCTGGCACACCCCTCGCACGGTTCGTGGCCTCATAATGAGCTCCAACGGAGGCCCCAATGTCTGCGTCCGCTTGCGTCCTCCCCGCCCACGTCGTGCCTATTTCGGCACAGCCCTCACACACGGTTTGCGGCCCGATCGGGAGTGCCACCGAAGGTTCCAGTGGCCGCGTCCGCATGCGTCCCCACCGCCCGCCGTACGCATTTTTTTGCACACGCACACACACACACACACACCTCACACATTTCGTGGCCCCATAGGGGGCTCCAGCGAAGACCCCAGTGGCCGCGTCCGCGTGCGCCCTCCCCGCACACCGCATGTCCACACACACACACACACACCTCACACTCTTCGTGGCCCCATGGAGAGCTCCACTGAATGCCCCAGTGGCCGCGTCGGCATGCGTCCACCTTGCCCCCCGCATGCCCATTCTGGCACACCCCTCGCACGGTTGGTGGCCCCATAGAGAGCTCCAACGAAGGCCCCAGTGGCCGCGTCCGCATACGTCCTCCCCGCCCACCTGGCTTTTATTTCGGCACACCCCTCACACGGTTCATGGCCCCATAGGGTTCTCCACCGAAGGCTCCAGTGGGAGGGTTCGCATGACACCACCGCGCCCAATCCGGCACACCCCTCACACAGTTCGTGTGGCCCGATAGGGAGTCCCGCCGAAAGCTCCAGAGGGAGTGTTCGCATGGCGTCACCGCGCCAAATTTGTTCCCCCCCATGCGTTTCGTGGCCCCACAGTATGCTCCAACGAGATCTCCACTAGGAGGGTTACCGCGCCAAATTCGGCACGCCCTCACACGGTTCATGACCCCAGAAGGAGCTCCATCGAAATGCGGTACCTACAATGCGGCACTCGCAGCCGCATATGGTGGGATCTTTCGTCGGGCTAATTTTTCTAGCGTTTTCAGTCCTGTCGTTGAGACCTGAAACGCTAAAAACATGATTTCCAAGACGCCGAGCTGAAAACGCTAAAAACACGCCCTAAGTATATTTAGGATGAACCAAGCTGTTGGCGCCACCGCACCGATTTCGGCACACCCTTCGCACGGCTCGTGACCCAGAGGGAGTTCCACCGAAAGACGCAGTGGCAGGGTCCGCATGGCGCCATCGCACCCCTTCCGGCACCAGAGGGAGGTCCACCGAAGGCCCCAGTGGCAGGGTCCTGCTGGCGCCATCGCGCCCATTTCGGCACGCCCCTCACACGATTCGTGGCCTCATGGGGAAGTCCACCGAGGGCCCCAGCGGCAGGGTCCACATGGCGCCACCACACCCATGTTGGCAACCCCCCCCCCACACGTGTCGCAGCTGCATGGCGCACCCGCACCCGATTCGGTACGCTCCTCACACGCTTCTTCTTCCCATGTGGAGAGCTCCCACCTGCTTTGCGGCACTCGCATGCGCATGTGGTTGGGTCTTTGCCAGAGCCATGCTTTCAGCGTAGCGCGCCCAGCCTGCCGGGCGGGCCGAGGAGGAGGAGGAGGAGGAGGAGGAGCTCCTCAGCGAGGTGCGCTGGACCGGCCGGGCCACCCACTCCGGCAACCAGTACCACGAGGGCGTCAGCGCCCTCGCCGCCGCCTCGCGGCTGCTGCTGGCGGCGGAGTCCCGCACCCGCGCGGAGGAGCACATCGGCCTCAGCTTCAAGTCGGGCCCGACCCTCCACAAGAGGAATATTCAGAAATTGTCAAAGAATAGTCTGGGGACTATTTTTTGACTATTTCGGGGCATCTTTTGAGTAATTCTGGGGTACTATTAATTTTTCGTCCAACATCCCCCTGTAGGGGGACAGGCCCGACCTAACCTCAGCTGGGCGAGGATCGAGGCTCGAGGTTTTTGGATGGGTTGCGGCCGGGAATTTTCGGATAGCGTGTCGCTCCGCCGGTTCTGGCCCACCGCGCTCTGGAGCGGCACGGTATCCACTTTGCGGGCACCAGGCGTCCAACGCCCGGAGCTTTTTCGAGTTCCCCCCCCTTTGAGTGGATCGATGCGCCATCTACTCGCAAGGCATAGCGTGCCGCTTGAGCCGCCGGGGCGACGTGCTATCCAGAAAATCCTGGCCGTAGTTCGGTCTGGGCTTCGGGGAAGTTTTGACATTTGTTTTAGTTATGTCATTGTTTTGTTGATGTGGTGGCTAGTGCGTTGCTGCTGAAGTCGATGTTCATTCATGTGAATGATATGCTGTTGTTGTGGTTGTTATCGTGCTGTTCGCGTCGGTGCTATTATTCGGTTGATCTGGTTGCTGCAGACGACGTCCTTGCTGTTGATCTGGCTGTTTTTGTGTTCCTTTTCGCTCCTCGGGGCAGCTCTTCGCCATGGACGGCTGGAATATCACATTGGATCCTGATCAAAACGCATGGCTGGACGCTTCCGGAGTTCGAGTCGTTCGCGTCGCCCCTGCACCCGAAGATAATACATGCAACGGAGTGTTGTCGGCAGTTTTTCGGCGCGCGGGGGTGCTTACAGTGGAGACCCATGCCAAGAAACACCGTGCTCGCCTCCAGGGTGCCCTGGGTTTCGTGGGTTTCGATGGTCTTGCCATCGAGAGCGTGGCGTTCCCACCAAAAAACAGTGGACGTCCTGGGGTCGCAGGGCTGGGCTTCTTGAGGAAGCTTTTTTGTGAACGAGCCTCCACTGCAAGTCCGGATCAAAACGTACAGATGGTTTGGTCTGGAGTTCGAGTCGTTCGCGCCGCCCCCGCACCCGAAGAAAGCAAGCACACCGGAGTGCTTTTGCCGAGACCCATGCCAAGAAACACCCTGCTCGCCTCCAGGGTGCCCTGGGTTTCTTGGGTTTCGATGGTCTTGCCATGGAGAGCGTGGCGTTCCCACACCAACAATCAGTGGACGTCATGGGGTCTCTGGGCTGGGTTTAAGTTGGGCCTGCCACCTACAGGAGGGATACACAAAAAGAACAAGAAAATAGTACAGGGACGATGTTCTGACTGCTTTTGGTTGTTTTTGACGCATTCTTTTCAATGTTTGGCTCGTGGCCCAACATTCCCCTGTCGGGGGACATGCCCGACCGAAGGCCGGGTTTCTTGAGGAAGGTGTCTTGCGATCGAGCCCCTACGGTATGCAGGCCCCGGCTGCGTCGGGAGACTAGGACCAGGGCGGAGGCCCGGGGCCCTCGCCCCCCGTGGGGTGTCCGTCGGCATCGACGCGCATCGATGGAGCGTCGACGCGACGGGTTCCCCCGGGGACAGCTCCCCCGGCCGTGGCTCTGGCCGGTCGGAGGACGGGTTCACCGTGAACGTCGGCATCATGTCCGGGGGATCCGCGGTGAACACGAGGCTCGGTGTGGACGAACGCCACCGTGACTGGGAAGAGGAAGGGGTGTAGGGGGGGGGGGGGGGGGGGACGGAGGAGGGGAGGGGGGGGTAATTAGGGGGGGGACGGAGGGGGGTAATCAGGGGTGTAGGGGGGGGGGGGGGGACGGAGGAGGGGAGGGGGTGGAATTAGGGGGGGGGGACGGGAACCATGCAGCAACAGATCACTGAAGCACTGTTCGTTGGAGGTCCTCTCGGCCTTCCTGGGTCGACGCCGGGCCCCCGTGGCGGCGCCGCTGGCTCCGCCCCTGGCGCGCTCCGCGCGCCAGGGAGGGGGCCCAGCGCCGACTCAAGAGAGCCGCGCGAACCTCGGAGGAGTCCTGACCTCCCAGACTGTGTTACAAGTCGTGGCCCTCCCTCCCGCCTCCCTCCACACCCTCCTCCCCCCGCCCTGCTCCTCCTCTTCCTCTCTCTCCCATCTTCCTGAGAGCTTAGAACTAGTGGCAATGGTGTTCCTCCTCCTCCTCCTCCCTCCTCCTCCTCCTCCTCCTCCTCCTCCTCCTCCTCTTCCCCTCTCATCCTCCTCTTCACTCCTCCCCCCTCCTCCTCCCTGCCGACAAGCTGACAAGCAGAATCAGAACAGGGCGGGTGCGAGAGCTGCTGCACCTGCGGTCGCTTGCTCGGCCCCGCCGCTGGGCACAGAGTCCTGGAAGTGCGCGAGGGGTCCCTCCTGGCGCGCCCGGGCGCCGGGAAAGAGCGGACCGTGCGCAGTCGGGAGCCTCGCGACGGGGGTCAGTGCAGACGGGGGTTCAGCCAGGGCGCCGGATCTTGCAGGATCCTGCGAAGACCCCCTCTGGCTGATCCGGGTTCGCGAGCCGCTCGTGGCCGCGAGGCGGCCGCGCCTATTGGCTGACCCGGGGTTGCGAAGAACCGCGTTGCAGTTTTTGTTTCCTGCATTGCAGTTTTTGTTTTCCTGCTGACCCGGGTCTGGATTGACCAGGGTCAGAAGATCCCCGACGCATCTGATTCGCCAACCGTTCCTTTGGGCACGCACGCAGCTGATCCGGCTTCCGACTCTCCACTTCCACCTGCACCGCACCTCCTGTCGACCTCCAGCGACCACCAGCTCAGAGCTCAGCACCCCGGCCTCGGCAAACCAGGACAACATGCATTGAGGGCCCCGGCCCCCCCGCGTAGGCCTGAAAGGGCCCCGCCACCAGCGGAACCGCGCGCTGGCCCCTCGTCCCCCCGCAGCAGTGCCCATTCCGATCCGATCCGAAATCGATTTTCGGCCGGCCCGATCCGATGTGATTCCGACGATCCGCTGCGGCTCGATGCTTGCCTGGCGCTGTGAAGCATCCTGGCGCGGCTGAGTCGGTTCGAGTTCGACTCCGTGCCGAGGCAGCTCGATCCGACTCACGCTCCGATCCGGTCCGATGTCCCGATTCGGTGCTGATCGGTATCTCTCAGCGGCACCGTGGGGGGGGGGGAAGAGAACTATGCACATGCACCGATCCTGACAACGCCCATCCTTGACCCAGGATCGGTGCATATACCCTCCTGGCCAAGGTGAGAGGGCGTATGCACCGATCCTGGGCTCAGGATGGGCCTGGCCAGAATCGGTGTATGTGCATAGTTCTCTTTCCTCTAGGGGGTGGACAGGCCCAGCCCGCCGCCCCTGTCTGGAGGCCTGGCGCGGCGGGCATGACCGTGGACGTCAGGGTGACGCGGACCGAGCAGTGGGAGGAGTTCTTGGCCTGGCTCCGGGCGGCTGCAACCAGGGGGCGGGGATCGCGTGCAGCCGGCACGGGGGCCGCGGACGGCCCCAGCCTCGGCGAGGTATACCCTGCTGCTCTTCGCCGTCGGACTCTCCGCCGCGGATTGGCCTCCGTTCTGGGCCTCTCCACCCAGACCCCCTCGAGTCATGAAAAAATCACGACGGAGGGTTTTTCGCTATTTTCGGCCTCCGGGGGCCCTTACCGGCCCTCAGGACCGTCAAAAAACGACTCAGGATGAAAAACCGGTCCCGGGGAAGGGGTCCGGACCTCTGGGGGTCGCGTCATGAAAAAATCATGACGTCGGGGGTCTGGGCATGGTGCAATGGCCCTCCGGTGAGGGGGCGCATGCATGCTCTTGATCCGCGTCCTTGCTGCCGTACCTAATCGACCGTGGGGGGGGGAAGCGCTGCCAGGGCGTCGGCCGAAATTCCTGCCGACCTCTGCGCTCCGTGCACGGGGGCGCGCCCGTTCCGGCCAGGTCCTGAGCCCCGCAGGGGGGGGGGGGGTACAGGCTTCGGAACAAATTAGCGAACACTCATGCCAAATTCATCTGTCAACGCCTCCCCCCTCCCCCCAATGTTCAAAGTTGGCGGTGGGTCTGATGAGGTGCACTTCGATTGCAGCGTTTTCCGCGCGTGCCAACATTGAGTTGGGGGGAGGGGAAGTGTTCAGTAATTGTTTCCCTCTATCCGTAGAGACCTCGGGCTCCCCGCCTTCGCGCCACCTGTGAGCAGCGCCGGCGTCGAGGGCTCCTGCGCGCGCACGTGTGTCTCTCGGCGGCGAGCCCGGGGAGGAGGTGGGAAGGGGCAATCAACGGCACCGTAACGAGTACTTACCAACGGGTACTTAGAATTTTTGCCGAAAGTTGCCACTTTAGGGCCTTTTTCTTGCATTGCAGCTTTGCCTTCATCGGGAAGGGTTGGGTTCGCTGGGTCACTGGCCAAAGTACCCGTTAGTGGAGTCCCCGTTTGAAGGGCGCTGAGGCAAGCCTTCTCCGAAGGCTCGGAGGTCCCCCCTGCCTTCCTGAGAAGGTTTCAGGGCCTTCCCCAGAAGCGCAGAGAGCCGTGAAGGCCGGAGGGCTCCCGAGAAGCCGGGCCGCCTTCTGAGAGGCCCGGCCGTCTTCAAGGCCTTCTGCTTCTCTCTTGCCCCCCTGCCTCGCCGCCGAGTCCAGGGGCTCCGACCCCCCACGTCTTCGACAACGGGGGCTCCTGGCGAGTGCGTGCCCGCCCCTGGGCTGGCCACCCCGTTTGTCCAGGCCTCCCAGACCGGGCCGGAGTATAGCTGGGGTCGGTGCATCGCGCCGCATCGCCGATGCATCGAGGATGTGGCTCGACGTGGGGCCCGATTTTCTCCACGCCGACGTCGCCGATGCATGGCTGGCGTCGCCGTTGCATCGCCAATGCATCGGCGATGCGGCGCGATCCTCCGACCCATCTACTCCGACCCCATTTAGGAGGCCTCTGTTTGGCCCCCTTCGAGGCTTCGGGAATACCGCGATCCAGGGGGGGCGGACATGGAGCTGGACGTGAGGCCGTCGCGCGACGCGCAGAATGGGGGCGAGGGGCCAGGGCTAAGTCGGGCATGTCCCCCTGCATGAGGAATTGTCGAGAATAGTTCAAAACATAGTATCGTGACGATTCTTTGATTATTCTTGAATCGCTTCGCTCATTCCGCCGGCCCGTATTGTGCCATCGCGGGGTCTTGGGGGGTCTTGGGAGCCCTTGGAAGCTTCGTGGGAGCTTCTTGGGAACTTTGGGAGGCCTCGTGGATGGCTCTGGGTGGGCCCTCTTGGTGGTCTCTTGGGGGGGTCTGCCTGGCCTCTTGGGGGCCTCCTGGGAGCTTCCTGGGGGTCTCTTGGGGGCCTCTTGGGGCTTTCGTGCGGCCTGTTGGGGTCCTCTTGGGGCTCTCTTGGGGGCTTCGTGGGGCTACTTGGGGGCTTGTAGGGGCATTTCGGGGGCGTGTTTGGGCGGGAGGCTCAAACTTACCGTTCAGGTTGCCCCTGTGGACCTCAAGCATGGGGCCGTCTTGGGGCCTCTTGGACCGTCTTGAGGGTTTCTTGGGCCTTCTTGGAGCGCTCTTGGGCCGTCTTTGAGCGGTCTTGAGGGTCTCTCGGGCCGTCTTGGGGTGATCTTGGGGGCCTCTTGGACCGCCTTGAAAGGTGTGAAAGACGAAGAGGCGGATATGTTAAAAATGCACGTTTTCCTAAGGGAATGGGACGATTTTTGCTAGTGGGAGCCCTCTTGGGACGCCGCTTAGGGACCTCTTAGGGACCTCTTGGGGCGTCTTGAAGGCCTGTTGGGCCGTCTTGAGGCCATCGTAGGCGTTTTGGAGTGATATTTCGGCGTCTCCCGGCTCTCTTGGACCGTCTGGAGGGCTTCTCGGGCCCCTCTTGGACCGATTTGGAGCCCTCCTGGGCTCCAAACAAGAGTTCTTGAGGGTTTCTTGGGCCTTCTTGGAGCGCTCTTGGGCCGTCTTTGAGCGGTCTGGAGGGTCTCTCGGGCCGTCTTGGGGTGATCTTGGGGTCCTCTTGGACCGCCTTGAAAGGTGTGAAAGACGAAGAGGCGGATATGTTAAAAATGCACGTTTTCCTATGGGAATGGGACGATTTTTGCTTGTGGGAGCCCTCTTGGGACGCCGCTTAGGGACCTCTTGGGGCGTCTTGAAGGCCTGTTGGGCCGTCTTGAGGCCATCGCAGGCGTTTGGGAGTGATATTTCGGCGTCTCCCGGCTTTCTTGGACCGTCTGGAGGGCTTCTCGGGCCCCTCTTGGACCGTTTGGAGCCCTCCTGGGCTCCGAAAAGGGACCTTGCTAGGACCTTGCCGGGGTACTTTTCGTCCGGGGACCCCCAGGGCCCGCCTCGCGCGCGCGAACTAGAAATATTGTTGAGCAGTTACCGGAGATCTTAGCACGCCTCTGGCCCGCTGGGCCGGCGAATTATTATATGTTTTTCTTCCCAAATCCGCCTGTAGGAGGACATGCCCGACCTAAGGCAAGGGGCGGCCTGCTTCAGGGGAGGCAGCGGGGGGGAAGGCGTTGCCCCCCCGGCAGCCAGCAGCCCCAGCATCCCCTCAGAGCTCGGCTTGGCCATTCTTTCCCAGCGGGGGGATGGTGCCTTCTTTTCGGAGGGGGGAGATGCGACACCGACACCACCAGGGGGGCCATCTCCAGCGAGGAGGTCCACGACGCCTCCCCGAGCTGGAGGCTGGGGGTGTCTCGAGCGAGAGGGGGGGGGCACACCACCAGTGAGGCCCCCCGTTGCTCCCCGCAGCTCCTCGCCCGGGTGGTGCTGGTGCCGCCGTTCCTTGTTCCTACATGCTTCGGGCCCCTGGACCGTGGCAGATCGATCTGGATCGAGTGGTGTCTATAGGGCTTGCTTGGCGATGCTCCACTGATTCGCAGCGTCGGACCTCAAGGTCTTCATGCAGCGGGAGCCCGTCCGAGAGCGCCAGCCCAGCCCTGCCCTGGCCCCCCTTCTGCGTCGCCGCCGGAGGCCGCTGACCCCTCCGATCCGGGCGGGCTTGGGACCCTGCGGCGGGCCGCTCGGGGGTGCCGCCCCCTCGAGGGGGCCATGCTGGGCGGTGGGCCAGACCCTGGCGTCCCAGGTCTCCGACGGTGAGAGCTGCTCAATCTGGGCGTCTCTTCTCGACCTGGGCTTCCCCGAAGTCCGGCCCCCGGGAAGGGGTCGGAACCTCGAGGAGCGAGGCTCGAAAACACATCGTACAAGAAAGGCCTGACAGCAGAGGAGGTCGGCCAAGACCATGGCGGCCGATGTCGGGTTTTTTCCAGTCCTGCCGGCAGGCGGCGAGGCGCCACGACTGGCTACACCTGCCAGCCCTCGTGACCCAGCGGCCCCAGAACCACAGTCAAGGCGCTGAGATGAGGAACAGTCGGGGGAGCGTAAGACCCGGGTTTGCCAGGACTCGGGTTCGCCATCGTTTTTTGACGACCGCGACTCGGATTTTGACGAGGAGGAGTTTTGTGGGATGTCTGCAGCGGGAGGCCTCGTCAAAATGCAGGCTCGGCCTCGTCACTTTTTTGACGACCTCGTCGGGGATTTCCGAGTCCCCCGTACCCGGGTCTTACGTCTCCCCGAAACAGTTCGGATTCGGAAGGGGCTCGATGTTCCTCAGGCTCCTCCCGTGCTGTTCCTCTTGGCCCTCCCGGGGCACGGAGGCGCTTCCAGGGCCGAGAGGGGGCTTCGTTCCTCCTTTAGCGTTCCTTCTTTCGGCGGCCCGCCTGTATTTTTCATGTGTTGGGTACTGTGGGGTAGTGTTTGAGTATTGGTTGAATGCTTTCCCATGACCGTTTGGGCGCATTTCATGAGCATGTTTTTTTATTATTATTATTATTGTTATTATTATTACTATTATTATTATTATTATTATTATTAATATTATTCGTCGACAGATCCCCCTGTAGGGGGGCACGCCCGACTTATAAAAGTATACAGGGAGGACCCCCGCCGTCGTCCCCCCACGGAGACCGACGTCCGAAGCCCGCCCGGCCGATGAGCGCGGACCACGCGGCGTGGGCGGCGCTGGAGGCGGTCTGCGGGGGCCTGGGCCTGCCCTACGGCCGCGGCCTCGCAGGGGGCGCCTCCGACGGGTGCCACCTCGCCGCCCGCGGCGTCAAGGTCCTGGACTCGGGCCGGACGACAGGGGGGCCTCCTCCTCCTCCTCCTCCTCCTCCTCCTCCTCCTCCTCCTCCTCCTGACTGGGAATCGGGAGCCTTGAGACGGGGGTCAAAGCAAACGGGGGTCAGCCAGAGCGTCCGATCCTGCAGGATCCTGCAGTGCCAGGGTCGCATTGACCCGGGCTTGGGTGCAGCATCCTGCGGGGTCTTGCACGAGCCTTCGCACTGGCCCGGGTTTGGGGGCAGGATCTTGCAGGATTCTGAAAGGCCTGACTGACCCGGGTCTGGATTGATCCGGGTCAGAAGATCCCCAAGGGAAAGGGGGGGGGTACGAAATTTGCTGCATGCAGCTGGTTTCGGCCCCACCGAGGGGCCCATTCCTCGATACATGGCTGCTTTCGGCGCCGGGAGGCGCCGGGAAAATCAGCTACGTGAGCTGATTCTCAAACCCCCCCGTTGTTATCCCCCCCTTTCGCCCGGCCCGATGGACGGCCTCGGCGTCGCCGGCGCGGGGGAGCACGCGGAGCACGAGCACATCCCGGGGGGGTCCCAGGGGTGGCCTGGGCCTGACCTTGGGCCGGGCATGTCCTCCTACAAGCGAGTTTTGGAAGAAAAGTGAAACATTGGCAAGCAATGCCAAAGTAGCCGTATATTCGTCACCAGATTATGTTTGTTGTATATTGTTTTCATATTCTTCCTGCAGAAAGACATGCCCGACTTAAGCCTAACCCAGGCATGCCGGCGTCGTGGAGCAAAGAAGCACCACGAGTTGTGTTTTTGTCCGAACTCTGCCTCTCCGCGGGCCCTCGCCGGGCCCCGGGACCGTGAAACACGGTGGTTCGTAGTGAGAGAATTTGTTGTGGCCTAGAGTGTGAGACAAGTTGACGATGTTTCCGTATTTGTCAGTCTGTTTCTGCTATTTGTCTAATGTCCTTCAAACATCCGCCTGTAGGAGGACATGCACGCCCTTATCCTAGGCCAGGAACACTTGTGGCTACCCTCGTCGCATCTTGCTGGACTCGCTGCAACCCACCTTCGTACGCAATACGATGCTCATGTACGATCTAGCCGCTGCGACCGATGGAGACCTCGCCTGAATAGAGTCGACATCGTCTTTGTCAGCGTCATCACCATCCCTACCACCCACATGAGCAAAAACATGATGTGTTGTGGCTTCCTCAGAACGTAGAAAGTCTCTGTGTCATCCGTTCGTCCCCACCACGTCGGGGCGGGGGTGCGCTGCGAACGCCATAGTATAGATTGCCCCAGCACCAGCATGTGGGAGGGGGGGTCCAGGCCCATCCAACGCACGATCCTTACAGTTACCCGGGGGGGGGCGGGGGGTTGGCCCAGATAGCGACTGTTAGGCACCAGAGAATAGACAGAAAATCTTCTCGACCATCACCCTCCCTTACGCTCGTGCTCCTTACCCGTCCTTCCCCTCGCATCCAGTACGGGGGCACCGCCCACCGGGGACGGCAACGCCCGCCGGCGATTTGTGCCTGCCGCGCAGGCGGCACGTTGGAGGCCGTGCCGGCCAACATGAGATCACAACAGAGCGTGCGGCATAAGGCAATGCATCCCGCCAGCGGAGTCGCCCGCCCCAGGGCCGTTTGGGTACCCCTGCGGTGGCAGGTGGGGGGGCATCAGCGTTCTGGCCGCCTTGGGAGAGGCGTCCCCGATGGCGGAGGAGGAGGAGGGGAGGAGGAGGAGGAGGAGGAGGAGGGGAGGTGAGGAAAGCGAAGGAGGAGGAGGAGGACGACGAAAGCGAAGGAGGAGGAGGAGTAGGGGGGAGGAGGAGGAGGAGGGGAGGAGGAGGGGAGGAGGAGGAGGAGGAGGATTCTACGAAGCGGGCAAGGCCCGCCCCCCAACTGCAGTAGTAGTAGTAGTAGTAGTAGTAGTAGTAGTAGTAGTAGTAGTAGTAGTAGTAGTAGTAGTAGTAGTAGTAGTAGTAGTAGTAGTAGTAGTAGTAGTAGTAGCAGAGGATGAGGGAGCTGTCCGCCGCGGTACGAGCGCAGGAGGAGGAGGAGGAGGAGGACGAGGACGAGGAGGAGGGGAGGAGGACAAACTAGGTGCGCCCTCGTCATACCCGACGTCCTACTCCTCCCTCCCATTCCTCACCATGCCGTAGATTTCTCTACTCGCACAGTCGGATGTCGCAGCAGGGCATAGCATTACATGGCGCAACATGGTGTTGAAGATCAACGCGTAGCCTGGCATAGCATGGCGCGGCGACGCACCAAAGGCGGGGGGGCTCCTGCGGCCCAGAAGGTCAACGAATAGGCACCGAATTTGGAATCACTTCCGATGGTTGTTTCGGGGGGGCATTCCTGAGATTTTGGGGCCTATTTGGATGGACCGAAAAGCATGCCGTGGCATGGCGCTGGAAATACTGACGCCAGCGCTGCAGCGGGAGCACGATTCGGACGAGCGGAAATGCGGAAATGAGGCCATCGCTGCAGCGGGAGCACGATTCGGAATGAGCGGTAGCCCGAAAATGAGGCCAGCGCTTTAGCGAACGCAGCATTTTGAAACAAACACCCAAGCGAAAACCCAACTCTTGGGAATCCTGAGTGCAAGAAACCAGTACGCGGAGGGGGGCCGGACATTTCCGGACGTCACCAGGGGAGAGAGGAGAGTAGTATTCATATTGTGCAATTGTGGAGGAGGAAGAGGAGAAGGTGGAGGAGGAGGAGGTAGGAGGGAGAAGGGAGGAGGAAGAAGGGAGGCGGAGAGGAGGGAGGAGGGAGGAGGGGGGAGGGAGGGGGAGGAGGCGAGGAGGGAGGAGGGGAGGAGTGAGGAGGGAGAGGGAGGCGGAGGAGGAGGGAGGTGGGAGGATAGGCGTGGAGGGAGGAGGCGATGGGAGGGAGGGGAGGGAGGGTGGGAGGGAGGGTGGGAGGGAGGGTGGGAGGAGGGAGGGAGGTCGGAGGGAGGAGGAGGAGGAGGAGGAGGAGGAGGAGGAGGAGGAGGAGGAGGAGGTGGAGGAGGTGGAGGAGGAGGAGGAGGAGGAGGAGAGGAGGAGGAGGAGGAGGGGAGGGGAGGGGAGGAGGCGGAGGAGGAGGAGTAGGAGGAAGTTGGTGTTCTGCACTCTTCACCCGCTGATTCAGCCTCCCCTGGGCAGCTCGAACTTGTTGCGGCGATGCCCCTGTCTGGACCGCGCGCCACCGCTTCGCCATGTTGAGCCCCGCCGCCACTCACGTTGCATCTTCGGGGCACCTCGCCTGTCCCAAGAACTGGTATCTCTTTTTAGCGCGCGGGCTCTGTGCGGATTCGACGCGGATTCGACACGGATTCGACACGGATCCGACGAGGCCGACATGGATTCGGCACGGGTTCGATGCGGATAGGGCCACGACGGGACAGACAAGGTTTTTCGAGGATTCGAGGCTGCAACATAACACGAACTTGTTGCGGCGGTGCCCATGTCTGGACCGCGCGCCACCGCTCCGTCATGTTGAGCCCTGCCGTCGTCGCTCCTTTGGCCCCGCTCTCTCTCTAGGCTCGCACTCGACCACCCCTTCGCCCTCCCCACCTCGACTTTGCCCCCTCGCCCTTGTTTTCGACAGCGTGCCGCCTGTTCCCGCGCACTCTGGCCAGCGGCCCCCTCTCTTCCGCTCGCACCTTCTGCCCCTGCCCTCCGCGCCGTCCGACTTCCTCCCGCCGTCAGTGTTCCGTTTTTCTTCCGCTCAGTTGCTCGCCATCTTGCCCGCGGGAACCCAGATCGGGGAATCATAAGACTCGAGTGCGCCGGAATTCAGGGTTGCCGACGCTTTTTGACGAGCGCGTCCTGGATTTTGACGGTCCATTTGTCGTGGGATGTTTGCAGCGGGCGTTCGCGTCAAATTTCAGATTGGGTATCATCATTTTCATGATGGCCCCGTCAGGCCAATCCAAGTCCCCCGAACCCTCGAGTCTTACCTCTCCCCGACCAGAGCGTGAGCCCAAGAAGACCGCCCAGAGATTGCAGTCTCTCACCACTTGTTGCGCGAAGAGAGCGACGCACAATCCGCCTGCACCGGTCTCGGCCAGCTGCATCCGTGGGCTCGGTGTCACAGCGCACGCCTCCCTCGCCGCGAAAGTCGGGACCGCGTGTGCACCGCGCCCGGGCGCAGGAGGGGCCCGACCGGTCTCGGGGCGCATGCGCACCTCCTTCTCTTCAACGGGTGCTCCTGCCCAGAATCATTAGGCGCGTTCGCCTGATAAATCTAGAGGGTCTGCTAGGAGGAGGAGGAGGAGGAGGAGGAGGAGGAGGAGGAGGAGGAGGAGGAGGAGGAGGAGGAGGAGGGAGGAGGAGGAGGATGCGGCGGCGGCGGCGGCGGTTGCGGCGGCGGCGCAGGCGGCCGGCGGCGGCGGGCGGGCTGGCGGCGGCCGGCGGCGGCGCGGCGGCGGCGGGCCGCCGCACCGCATCGGACGGCAGGCGGCCCACTCCGTCCCGACCGCGTCGTCCATGCATCGCAGGCGTTGACGTGGGGTCTTCGGGACAGTCCTGAGTAGGGCCTGCCCCTCTACGGGGGGTATATCAAGAAACAGTCAGGGGAGGAGTTGTTTGACTATGTTTGAGCATGTTCGGAATATTTGTTGACCATTTTTGATGTTTCGCCCAAGACCCCCCTGTAGAGGGGCAGGCCCGACCCAACTTTCGAATTTCGACGCACCGGTGTGAGGAGAGAGAAATTATCCTGCCCGCAGGCCCCCATTGTCCTCGGGGACGCCGAGTCTGTCACGGGTACCCGCTCGACGTGCTTCAGGTTCGTGCTCTGGGGGCAGAAGGCCACTCTGAGGGGAAGGGGAGGGAGGAGTGAGACAGATGCGGATCTCGCGGACCCTTCTCCCCCGCCGTCGCCAACCGTGCACGCGAGGCAGACGGGAATGGGCGGGCGATGGGGAGGGGCAGGAGGAGGAGCAGTAGCAGCATCTAGGAGGAGGGACGTGGGGCGGGAGGGAGCGGAGGCAGGAGAGCACGGGAGCAGCGCCAGGGAGCAGCAGCGGCAGCACCGCCGGCCTCTCCCTGGCGTCCCGGCATGCCGGGTGGCGGGTGGAGGCCGCTGGTCTTTGCTGCTCCGCCTCCCGCGGGGCTGTCCCGAAAGGTCTGCCAGACGACGTGCCGGGACCTTGACGAAGCCCCCGCCGTTCGGCACTGGACGCTACGCGGCCCGCAGGTGTCGCCAGCGCGTGCGATCGCCCCAGGCCGCGGAGGGCAGGGGTTGGCAGGGGCGCGGCGCAGCAGTTGCCTCGGGTGCAGGCCTGGCACGACGATGCGATGGTGGATCGGAGATTGTTTGTGAGCCTCTGGCGCGTAACGTTTGTTAGCCAGGCCCCCCCCAAAAAAAAATCCCAGGGTAACGGTAACGATCGTACGGGGGGCTTGGGCACCCCGCCCAGACTATCCGTGTCTCCGCAGAGCTGGGTTGGGGCATCCGTGGCCGAGTCTCGTCGTGGCCTCAAACGCTTCCGTTCCTTCTTCAGCGTGCCGTGTGGTAACACGATGGCTGCAGGAGGACGACGGCGGCGCGGCTGGGCGGGAGGCGGCGGCGG